AATTAAATTAATTAATATTTTTTATTATTTATATGTTTTAACTAGAAACATACTAAGTTTTTAAAAAATAAATACGTAGAAAAAGAAAAGTAATTGGGAAACAGATCTAAAAATTTTTTAGTTATATATTATTTTTTTTACTACAATTCAATGTAAGAAATGGGATTTATTTACATATTTTGTATGTGCAGAATAGATTATACATTAATAGAAATTGTCATTACAGATGTTATATTTGCGTTTTATCGTCTTTAAAAAAATATATAAAATAATGTATTACTATGTAAAATAACATCATATTAACCATATTAAGGAAATTGATAAAGAATATATATCTCATTTTTATAAAAAAGGATTTTATTATTATTATTATTACTTACAATTATTAATTGGTTTAAATCAATTAACTTGAGTAATCAAAATGATAAGCGAGAATTACGCAGAAAAATGATGACACTTTAAAAGGTGCTTCAAAACAACAAATTTTTTAAAACAATAGTTGTAGTAACAAAAATTATAGAGGGTATATTCTGATGTTAATATTTTTAAATATAAATTAACCAATGGGTATAAAAATGATCAACGTGATGATATAAGTAAGGATCACACAGATAAAAGACAACCAATCGATAATAGTGGTAAAATATCTCCAAGATGGTTCCTTTATCTCCACTTCAGATTTTGGAACATTTGAGTTCCCTTCAGTTATTGTATCTTTATCTACCATCTTGGTTTCATCATCCTTCAAGATCAAAAAACGACTAGTCCTGTTGCTCAAAACAAACATTGTCGTGGATGAGATCCAATTTGGCATCTCCATGTTCATGACTTCCAATTTGCGTAACAAGACCGTTAAGATAATGACAAAAGCAGCCAAAACAACGGACTCACAATAAAAGATAACTACAGGTAATAAAAGTAATTTATTATACGAAAAAAAAAATTAATTATATATTTTATTTATTTATTTATTTTATAAGTTTGATTTTAATACTAATTGTTATTTTTTCCTTTGCAATGTATTATAAACTTTTAAACACATTATTTTGATTTAGTAAATATTTCATGTACGCTAAAGCTGTTAATTATAGTAGATTTTTTGAGATTATATAAATTAGAATTTTTTTTTTGAAACTTATAATATTCATTGATTATTATTTTTTACCTTTATATCCTTTATGAATCTTATTACTCACCTATCTTAGGTATATTAATGCTGTTGTAAGGTAATTGCCAATACACATTGTATAAGCAGAGCAGGTGACAAATAAAATTGACGTTTGCCAATACAACTCGTTCCACCGATTTTAGATCCAGGCAAAGCACCGTTACAGTAAAAAATATCAAAGCTAGAAGGAAACATGAGTACTTATTATTAGCTTTATCCTATTTGGTTCTGCTCTCGCTAACTATTGCTCACCGATGGCAGGTATAACGTTAGTTATGTGTTTTATGCCATGATACCGTGTCAATAAAAAATTGTAATCAATTGTTGGAAAAGTGTCATTCGGACAACATTTATGCGTTTTTATCTCTTTCACCGCGTTTATAAATTTGAAATCCCATCTCGTGTCATTATCGTAACCGTTCATACTAATCTGTCAAAAAAAAATTTTGATTTTACAGCAAGAATGTTTACAGTCAACATAATAAACATTATTAGATGTCTAGATTCTAATGTCTCGAAATAAAATTATTCTTATATTATAATTCTTATTTATATAGCAGTCATGCATTATATAAATTGCTAATTAAATACGTAGTAAGAAAATATTTCATTTTCTAGTTAATTTCAGATGCATTCACTTGATTCTACAATGCAAAAGTTTGATTAAAAGTAATATTTATGTGCAGGGAGAATATATTCTATGTAAGAAAAATTGATTAATTATATTCTATAACTACTTATAGATTAAATAATTGCAAAAGTAAATAATTTTCAATTAATTTGACTTCGCAAATACATACGCCTTCTCTATTTAGCTGATAATCAACTTCCAATCCTGTATGCCTCCACGAACCAAACGTGATACGACATTGATATTTGTCGTAAGGAAAATAGGTGTAATCGGGATCACATTTGGCAACGAATTTCATAGCCGGCACGCAAGTAATGGAGCCCTCGCTATAGAGTAAACATTCCGTCGTAGGTAATTGAAGTTGATCGTCCAAAACATCGCCACTAAAAGAATCGAAAAAACAATTATTTATATTACATAATTATATGAAAAAAATGAGAGTTGAAAAGATTAGTGCACAAGAGGCAATTTATCTTAAAATGAAGAGAAAAAGATAAATTTTCTTCAGTTATTAAAAAAAAAGTCAACTTACGAGTTGAAGACACTCAAATCAGGTGTCCAGATCTCCCAACTCTTTACACGAATAAAATTGATCCCGTCATAATCGCTCGGTGTCCAAGTAAGATGAGGGTCAGACCAAGTCTATTAACAAAATACTTTATTAAAGCAAGGATGAGGCATAATAATGCTTTCTATAAAAATTGTATACTTACAAGTGATACCCAACTATGCAGTGATAATATAGCATAGTTGTCTTCCTGTAAATAAAATAATTTATTTCTTGTTATGCGCGCTATGTGTGATATATATTTTATTTAATAATAATATGGAGTGATAAAAAAGAATAATGAGTATGTGAAAATTAATAGTGGCAAAAACCTTTATTTCATTAAAACACATGTTATATTAAGAAATAGAAAAATTAAATTTATGAAAAAATTTATAAATTTTACATTTTTGGAAAATGATGCTTGACTCGTTATAACTTATTACTTCATAATTGATTATAATTGAATTATATAATTCAAGATATTTTTATAATTACACTCTTACTAATTCTATTAACTTTGGCATCAGCCATAAAGAGACGAGGGTGGCATTGGTCTTGAAATGATTCGGATGGACCGAAGTATCATAATTGCAAAGGAGCTGTCTCTTAAGACGCAATTGCGGTAGTGTTATATCATCCAAATTTTTGCATTTTTGTGCCACACTATACAAATCCGAATTAGCGACAATAAAAGTGTCTGTAAAAAATTTCAAGAGAATTTTATATTAAATTTGAATTGATAAATCAAACACATATATAATGCTTTATTAATATTAATTAATATTAATATTGATTAATATTACTTAACTTTAAATATTATTTTTTATTAGAATATATAATTCTCGTAAGATAATACAATTATAATGTAAATATTATTTTGAGATTTATATGATATATCTGGGATGTTACTAAACTTAAAAAAATATGTAATATCACGATTAATTTTATTTTGTCACAGACAATCGTTTCACGTACTGGATTGCCAGAAAATAACGAAAAATCCAAACACCTGTAGTATCCTCATCTTGATCGGTACGTATCAATGGTTCTGATTCGACTAATTCTCGTCATTATTGTACCAGAATAACTGTCAAACGATTTGTGACATTCGACGATACTGATATACCAGACGCCCCCAAAGTATATCGACCGATTTGAAAACTTTATGATATCCAACACAGTAAAGACAATCGTAATTACAGAATAATAATTAATCAAATTCAACAATTTTTTGATGCTTTAATCTTGCGTTATTATTTTATAGAATATCTTGAATTGATAAGTTTTGCAATGAAACTAGCGATATTTTCGAAATCTTTAAAATGGGATCACAAAAATGAACAAACGTAAAAACTCGCGGTATTTAACGTTTTGATAATTAAATAATAAGAAAAGAATAAAATTAGAAACAATGCAATATAAATACATCGAGACAAGGAAATTGAAAATGTTTTAAATACAGCATGCCGCAAAAAATTTCAGTTTTTTATTTATTGCTAAATAAAATATCAAGCTAACAAATATCAGCTATTTTATTAACAGTTTTACTTACCTTTAATATCGAGATATCTTTTTGCGTTATTATAATTAATAACAATTTAGTGAAAGACTATGGAAATGTTACATACGAGAAATGTTTATTTCTATGTCGTGTACACGCGGTAATTTCACAAAACATTAACATATCACAGAAATTAACGAATATACGGTGCGTTTAATTCTTAGTGCATCGATTTTTGTGCAAATCTCGAATATTATTCCAGATTAGATATAAATTAGCAGGGTTGTAAAAATATGATAAGATCTAATTCTTAACTGACAACATTTTAAATAATTTGTACAATATTCCAATCGGGAACACAGGAAGTGCCTTTGAAACTCTATAATTAATATAATAAATAGTAAAGTATAAAAGCGAGAGTTATTGAGGCAGAGTTATAAATATTTGAAATGACTATAATTTAATGCGATGGACGGAAAACATATTTACATATTTTGTGCAAGTAATCTACACATTTACAAAAATAGCGGTTAAAGCAATTACATTTGCTTTTCCGTCCTTCCGCGTTTTAAAGAAAAAATATTATACGTAATCATGAGAGACGAATTGACACGTTAATCGTCATTTACTTTTAAAGTCTTTAAATTGTTGGGTCATGATCATTATTGTCTATAATTATTTGATGAATAAAAAGTACACATGAAATATTTGCAGAATATTATTACGGGAATATTATTATGGGAATAGTATATAACACATAACAAAAAAGTTAAAAAAATATTCATACAATTAAATAAAGATAAAAATATAGCATTTAACGTATCAAAACGTCTTATTTTCCGAAACGCGTCATCTTGCCGATACAATGTTCTCAGCTGTAAAATAGCAATGATCTTTATTGCGTAACCATACGTAATAATTACAATATAGATTTCACAGATTCGCTCTGTTATCGATATACTCGTCATCGTCATCCGCGAATTTGATGCCGTCCTCGTTTTCTCGGATCAGATCGTAGAAGTCGCGCGATTCCACCTTTATATCGCTTTCGACCCCGTAATCCGGACTCTGAATCTCCTTCTTGGACAAACTGATGTTGAGATTGTCCGTCGTCAGTCTTCGAGCTGTCGCTGGCGAGTTTAATCGCGGCCCCGAGAATTCAATCATTGGAATATTAGTACAATCCGACAATTTATTAGTCTCTTGAGGTTGCGTGAACTGCATGAAATCTCGGTATTTGCACTGGCCACCCGTTACGTTCAGATTCGTCAGAAGGATATCCGACCTGGAACCGTCTTTGGCATCCTGAAGATCCTTCTCTCTGCCATCCACGCATCCTTGTGTCTTCGAACTCGATTTACCGGACAATTTACTGGACGTGTTCTCGTTCTTGAAATAACGATTCCTCTTATCCTCTTGGGAAACATCCTTCGTCTTTTGATTTACATACGACCTCGAAGTAGCGTGATGAAGTATTGCGTCTTCGGCATGCCTCTTCGAAGTCTGCTTTGATTTCTCCGTTTTATCTTCCGATTTCGCTACGTTATCGGTGATATTTACATAACTACCTTGCCGACTACCTTTCGATGAAGCATCTTGCTCCTGGGAGAGATCGAATTTAGTGACTTGAAGGCGATTAGGAATGATGCATTGCGTCCTGTCGGTTGCAAGCTGACTGCACAAGGATTCTTCACTCACCCGGGTCCTGGAGTCTTCCAGGATCCGGTGAATCGGCAGCAGGCGTTCGTTCAGCCTGACGGCTCTGCTTTCGCTGCTGATGCTATCCTCGGACAAGGCACTACCGCCCGACGACGAGTCGTTCTTCGATGACGAGGACGAAGACGTCGAGTCTTGGCGCTTCTGCTCGAAACTGCTCAGTCTGGTCTCCTCGACACTAGAGGCGAGCTTTTGTCGCATTCGCCGATACTCGGCCGGAGTCAGGGTCGCGCCCTCGGTGATCTCCTCCGGCAGTCGGAACAATGCCGGGCTCGCCGTCGTGCCTTGAAAACAATCCGGTTGATCCGCAGATGGATCTTCAGAATCCTCAGACATCGACAACGGGGGAATCCATAGGAGAAAAGCTGGATCCATACCTAAGTACGAGCCCGGCGCGGCGCCGGCGTTGGCTACGTTGTAATCGTAATAGTCCAGTTCCATATCCGTCTCCGGATTAGTCAGGCTGAACTCCGAGCCCGGTCCTTGAAGCAGCCGCTCGCGATTTCGACGATCCTTCGTCTCTTTACCGCTGCGTAACGTAGAAACGCCTGACAGTGGACTGCTCGTCGACGAATCCTGATAACAATTTTACGGTCTTTTCAGAAGACGGCATAATTCTTCGATTTCTTTCTCAATTTCTTCGAAATTATGTTATCTGGTTGTGCATTTATATAATTATCTTAAATTTCTCATCGTGTTCAAATTGTCTCGATTTGTTCAACATCTATTCTCAAACATTTTATTATTACAATAAAATATTGTTATGTTATTAAAATTATATAAAAAAATATAGTTCTACATCTCATTCTTGATTGTATATACTAACTTCTGTTTTATGTCATTTCAGATAAAATACACATATAATCGGATTAAATTTTCTTTACCTTGGATTGCAAAGGATTGAACGAGCGATGAAGTCTTGCAATATGAGGGCTGTCGGTGATGCTCGCTGTGTTTTCACATCTCGTATCGTCCAACATCGGCTTGTCCGCTGTCAGGCTGTTAGATCCCAAAGTGCGTAATCTGCAATATGTGAGTAACATACAAACTATTAATTATCCACACAACTGTCAGAGATATTCCAAAATATATATAGCTAACGATAAGAGAGATATATTACTTGAAATATTTTATCTCTAACAAAAATTTAGTTATATTTAATATACAATATTATTTTATATAATAATTGTTTATTGCATGAATTATGACTCAAGATTTATTAATTTATTAGATATTTTGCGATTTATATTGTCCAGCTATGTGTTTTACATAGATATTGTTAGAATAACATATCTTTACACATAAAACCTGATAAATTAATTATAATTACTTGACTGGTTGGGCATATTTTACTTCTGGCTGGCCAACTGCCATAATGGCCGATATTATCGATGGTGTTTCATCATTAATATGCAGTTTGTTTGGTATTATACTTGTCTCCATAGAGCTTTCTTCGTTATCTTTCATTTTCAAAGTAGTAGAGCTCAAGCTGGTTTCATCCTCATATCTATTACAAAAAAAAATATATATATAAAACGCGATAATGTAGGTCGCGATAAAATATTCAACGAGTTGATAGTGTATAGAATAAATAAAGCATAATATCAAGTAATATTTATGCATTTTTCATTATAAATGTTAAAGTATTAATTGCAATATATTAATCAGATAAATTTATTACTTACTCTGCCAATGTTTCTGAACTATCATAGCCATCCTCTACCGCACAAGGAGCCAGTTTACGTTTCGAAAGTCTTGGTGTACATTTCCTTGGCAATCCCACTAAAGACGCGACTTCCGAGATTAATGTCGTAGAAGACATCGATTTTACTCGTTCCATCGTATCGATATATTCTGAGAATGAATAATTCGCATATTTTTAGTAATTCTAATATTTATGCTTATAATATACTTGTTGTAATTGTAATTAATTCAATTTAATTTTAATTGTGTTTATCTTTAATCTTTAAGTTTGTAATACGCAGTAATTTTTACCACCTCAACTATCTGTTTTGTTATAGTAAAAGATATTCACCGGACTGTTCGCTCAGAGTATCCAAATCTTCTGCGATATGATACTTTCTATATTTCAGTGCAAATTGCAATGCTAGAAAAATAGATATAAAGAATATGAGTATCAAAATAGATGCTGTCGCCAAATGCGCAGGTCCCCAGAAGATCCATCGCTCGACAGTAGGGGTGGAACTCGTTTCCGAGGAAAGCAACGTCTTATTCTTTTCGTATAGTTTCTCTGAAAATAAATTGTGTAAATTACACAAGCATATCGAATAATTACAATTACACTTTTACAATGATGTTATAAATTAAAGGATATGATAATTTAATGTAATTAATAATTCTATTAATTTATTTAATATCATAAGATTTATTGTTGAAAACACATCACTATTAAAATTTTGTTTTGTTTATCGTAATTTATGTTAATTCATAAGCCTTACGAAACATGCTCGCGTGTCCCAGAAAACCACCCACGCAGGAATCCCCCGAAGCAGTCGACTCGTCGCTAAAGAACTCCAACAGCAAATTTTGACCCGAGGAGAATATCGTTCCTGTGGGCCCGCTCTTGTCAAACGCAATATCCGTCAACAGTTCCGCGCTTCGCGAATCACCGTCGCGGGCGCGAAAGTATTGTCCTGGACAGGGAAATTGCGTTTGGTCCAAGTGCAGTCGGATCACGTAATCCGATTTTGCCTACGCAAATTGAAATTAATCGATAGATATCTCGTCTTAATAATCAGAAAGAGATAAAAAATCTTATACTTGTTTCATCTTTTGCGATTAAAAGTATTTAAAAAAAAAATTATATTCTGTTTCAAATATAAAAATAATACACTATATCCATACAGAGAAAGAATTTACCTGCAGCAGCCAGAAGGATCGACCGGGACAGGCTTGTGTATTCGCCGCTAGGATCTTATTTAAGATTTGATCATGGAAATTTATAATACAACCGCATCGACACTGAAGGCCGACCTGAGCTGTAACTTCCGGTCTTGTGGCCGCTAATGTCGTTCCGTGTCGACACTCCCATCCCTCAGTGTTCCACGCTTCCTGAAAATCGATTCTGCCGGTGCCGCCGCACGATTCCGTCTCGACCGCTTTTCCCTGTTTCAGAACAAGTGTGTTATTAGCTTGCTTGTGATTGTCGTTCCTCGATTATATCGTTAAATTTACCTGACAAAATTTCGCCCCATATTTCGGGGGTGGTGTATCGCAGAATCGATATCGATTACGCGTTCCACCCACACAGGAGCTGCTGCAAGGACTCCACGCGCTCCAAGGACCCCAACCGGCCGCATCGTTTTCTGCGTTAATAATTAATATAAGAAAGAAGAAAAGTATTTATATATTTATATATAAGGAGATATGTGTTTCAGAAATCGAACACTTTTGTCTCTCGACACAAAAATTGCTTAAAAACTTTGACTTTGAAAGAGTGGAACATGTTTTATAATCTTCTATATTATTTTTAATCCATAGAAATTTAATTATCTTAGATTATTTAACTTGATCCGTTCAATTATCCATGATTCAGAAATTATAAGTTTGATGTTGATATTTATAACTCGGGAAAATTAATTAAACATAACAATACAATATACTAATCAAATTAACTTGTGTTTCAGATTAATTCCATCGGAAATTGTATTTATCCTATCGTCTCTTTTGACCTAGATCAGACAACGAACAATCGTGAGGCTCGTTAAGAAAATCAAATTTACGTGTCTCACGATCTCGACGGTAACTAAGAGGTGATAAATCTGCCGAGAATAGAGGCTTTTAAACGAGCGCATTTGCATGTCGCTTACCTAGAAGCGGGTAAGTGGGTATGCACGCGAGCTTTACTTCCGCCATCGCGCCGGTGATCGCTTGGCTCACATAAACGAAGCAGTACTCGATGAACTTCTCGGTGAAGATATCGCAATCGAAGTTCAATGAATGCTTGCCCGGCGCCGCCTTCAATTCCGCGATATAATGCAACGCGGACGGCGGCGCCAGGGAACTCACGTCTGCCCGGAGGCGGCCATAAACACGCACGCGATCGCCCTGAAGACGACACGCTGGATACTGGAAGAGGACTGATATGCCCGCCGATCCCTCGCAAGGATAGATCGATCTTGCATGAACGTTGAAGTTGAACTCGTCGGACCATTCCACCTGCATGCAAAAGAGGAGAGAATTGCAGTCTTATAGATGTTTTTCCCAATTAATTTATTTAAAGTGCAACAAGCGCGCAAATTGTACATTAATAGTTTACTATCTTGTAATAATCACTTTTTTAATTAACGTCCTCTGATGATAATTTCGTTTTAATTACTTAGAGTTAGGAGCTCAATTACCTTTATGTACGCGCTTGTCGTCGGCGCGGAAGGGTTAATGTCCGAGGCCTTTAATCTAAGTGCGTAATTTCCGGCTAATCCGAAAAAATCGCACTTTAGTTCGATGACCTTTGGCGAGGTGAAGCCGTTTATTTCTTCGTAATAGAGCACCTAGGAAAATATAAAAATATGAGAGAGTGGATTACGAGGAATTTTATCATTTGATGAACGCAAGATTCTTGCATATACTTTTCGCATACATGGTTTACATATATGATTTATTACTTTTACATATGTAGCACTTACTTGCGTGCGGCTGTTATTCTGTGGATCGCAGGCGGCGGGAGTGGTACCACAATATATGAGCTGCAAAGTATAAGCCGCTACGGGGACGCCGTTGGCAGGCACACATGAGATTCCATTGTACTTTATAGTCGCTATTACCGGTTGACTAGGATATGTACCGAAGTGTTGGGATTCCAGGAGCAGAGAAGGGATTGGCCACTTTACATCTAAGGCACTGCTCATCTAAATTTCATTCCAATTATGATAAATTCTCCTGGCATCATTAATGTCACACATGTAACGTTTATTAACAGTTCATTAATAGTCTTCGAGAAGAAAATGTATAAAACCAGAACGTAAGTTTAAATCTTGATTTTTTATATATACATTTTATTGCAATTATATATTTATAATTTTTTTCTTTAATATTAGCTAATGTGCTCACCTCAATTTCAGGCAGCCCAGCAATGGCAGTGTTGTGTCTGGCAGCCACGGTTGAGAACTTGTACTGAAGTCGTAGTGTATAAATTCCGCCACGCGAGAAGACACCACAAGGTATTATCACAGAAATATTCTCACCCTTATGCGGTAAGGTATCGAGAGGAAAATCACCAATCAATTCTGACGTGAGGCCATCGACATATAGTACTCTGGAAACAATACGCGAACAAAACGCACGACATATGTAAATGCAATTTGTAATCTTATCGTTTTAATCGTAATTAATTCTTCTCTTCTTCTTCTTCTTCTTAAAATTGTAATTATTATTTTATCATTATTTTATGCCTCGAAGAAAATGTTAGGAAATATTTGTAAAAATTATCTCACGACTCTCTGCAGACGTGTAATTGTAAATGTGATAACTTTATTTTATCGGTGTGCTTTTTTATTTTAATACTCGTTGTCGCACTTATTTAAGCATGTGTGTAAATTACGGAATATTTCAAGACGCTTTACGTGTTCGTTAAATTGTTTTATGGCTTTCTTACATACCTAAGCACGAGCGGTTCGTGACTCCCATTAATTTCATTTTTCTCCGGATCGATTTTATCTTTCTCATCTTTCTTCGTGCCATTTGTGTCGTTGGTGACCACGGTATTGGTGAATATCATGGAAGATTCTGTTTCCGCCGAATCTAGGATCAAAACTGTCACATCGCCGGACAAGGCTATATGGGACGGAGGAGCGACAACTTTTAACAAAATCGGCTCCCTCGCGTCTACTATCGATCTCGTGATACCTGAAACCGGTAAACACGAGTCTAAAGACTGAATACTTCCTTTATTAATAGCAATGTTGTTAATCAATAATTAATTAATTAAATTAAAAAATGTAAACGCAGTATGTTATCTAAAATTAGATTTAATTTAATAGAAACATATGAACAAATAATGGTATTTTAACTACAAATTTAATATTTTATACAGCATTATTATTTTTTAAATCTTTTACATTAAATAATTTTAGTACAATTTTTTATAGGGTACGATATTGCATTTCTTATATATCCGCAAATATAAAAGTTTAATGATTATTACCGCATTTTAGAAGAAGGATGATTAATAATCCCAATGATATCCGTTCGGATGTCCAATTCATGTCCGGCTCTTCATTGATGACTGCCAGGGCTTAACCGAGATATTTCGGTGCCCCGGACAAGATAATAATTCTGCGTCCCTATTCTGCTAAGAGTGATGAAAAAAATAGCATTGAGAATTTTGGCAAAGTTAAATTGATATTAAAGGTACACAGGTAATTATTATAGCTCAATTAAGCTAATGTAATTCTGATACAAAATAATTTTAAATAAAGTAGAACATGCTAGATTATATTCAAAGAAAATAAGCCAACGTAACCCAGATTATGTCACGGTAAGCCAGAATAATGGATGTTTCCATAAAATCTAAAATATTTTTAACTCTGGCGATAACTATCGTGCACACCATGCGATTTAAGCATTACGTGTTCTTAGAAAAATGCCACATTCTGATTATACTTTAGCGTTTTTTAATAACATTAAAGAATACTTTATATAATTTAATGATATTTTCAATTTTATTTTCAAAATGCAAGTGATCCTCGCATATGTTAATGCAAGATATATACGCTGCTAACTCTTAGATGCAAAGGCAGTGTCTCTTATATGCAAATAAGCTAATGCTGGTAGCAGGATAATTTCGCTTTGGGCCAACGATCAAAGTCACCGGGCGGCCTGCGTGCGTGCGTTTTGCACCCCCGCGTTTCGCTTCTGAAAATCTGCAGCCCTGTATAATTGCACGTGTTGCACCCTTAGGGCGACCCCGCAGTCGCTTCTCGGAGGGAAATCGAAATCGGGCATCGTCCTTTCGCGTTCGTATCGATCGACCGCGTCCCTATACCGTTTCAGAAAACGCATGTACGCATACATCCATGTCGACCGTAATAAAGGATACGATTTTTCATATCTAAGATAATGTTTGCAAAACTAATGAATAATATAAATAACATTTACAAATTTGATGATTAATATATTTAACATAGAATTTTGCATTTTTAATGCACAATAGGATATGATATAAAATGTGGTAGCTATGAGAAGAATATTTTATATAAATATTATTTATATAAATGAATCTTATGAAACTTATCCAGGATTTGATTAATCTCCAACCGTTATCAAACATCTTAACATATTTCTCAATAATAACATAAAAGACCAAAATAAAAGATACTTTTAAATATTTTCTTAATCTTTATGTGTTTTTTGTATCCAGGATTTGATTAATCTCCAACCGTTATCAAACATCTTAACATATTTCTCAATAATAACATAAAAGACCAAAATGAAAGATACTTTTAAATATTTTCAACATATTAAATAATTAAAAATTTTTTTATTTTTAAGTGAAATATCTTTAAATATTTTCTTAATCTTTATGTTTTTTTATAGGATATGATATAAAATGTGGTAGCTATGAGAAGAATATTTTATATAAATATTATTTATATAGAAATCTTTATGTTTATTTTTTAGTTAAATTTATTTTAAGAATATTCTTTCCTTTCAGCAACAAATTATTTAAATTTTTTCATTTATTTTAAGTTATATTTTAAACTATATATGTGTGTGTTTGTCTAAATTATTTTTCAATGTATACAGATGTTCAAAAAATATTTGCACATATCTGTGAAAAACGTGACTGGTCTCCGCGGGGTGTCTCGAACCCCCTGAGGATTCTTTTCACCGTGGCGTAAAAATGGATGGACCCTTCCATAAATGTGCTTGTTAAAATCAGGATTTCTCGCTGCCTGCGTTCCTCTTACCGTTAATTTACCAGAAACCACGATCTGTACATGAATCTCTTGCTACTTAAAATATGATAATTAAAGAACTAGAAAAAAGTGTTTATACATATATAATATCACTATTAATTAAAGAAAACTATATTGAATTAGAAACTGCGGAGAACATTATCACTTTTTATATTACCTTTATTGTAATTTGTTTTTCTTTTTCATTAGGCAAAAAAGTAAAATTATATTGTATTATTACTTTTTTTATTATTTAATTAATTAAAAGAAGTTATTATATAAAATAAATAATTTGTTTTAGCATTCTGTTTAATATTAGTATTCAGAATTTGCAATGACTAATGTTAAGATGATAAATAATGTCTAATGTAGACAGTCCACGTGTCGGAATGATGTAGGAAGTGATATTTGGCTTGATTATGCAATTGGAATAATGAGTTTGATGCCGTGTGCGAAAGGGAATACCAACCGCACGCAGACAGACATACATTGCTTATCGCTGCAGACATGCATGGTGGTGATTAACATTGATATATTGAGATAAACATCGCCCCTCTATCGAAGAGGCGCCATGGGGTAACATCGAGTGCTTTAAAAATGACAGTCACAAAACATGCAGAAAATATATCTACAACTTGTAGCGAAAATAAACTCTTTTAATTTTTTAACGGTATTTATGTAAATTATTTTTATTATTTATATCATATATTGAGTAAGAATATATTCTTTCCCAAGCAAATCTTTAACTCAACTAAGAAAAAAATGTATTCGGAAAGTAATTGACAATATTATTTATATTATTTATGTTCCTCTGTGTTTAATTAAAAATCTCTCTTGATCGTTAAAATCTAATCCGTGATTTTATTTTCTAACGCAAAAAGAAGATTTGAATGAAATATTAACTCAAAATTAAGTCAATGCAATTAATTAATGTAATTAATTCTAGGTCTGTACAATTTTATTTTTACTTAAAACTTGAAAGATCTCATTCATCATCTATGGTCTCAATTATTTCTAAATGAATCTTATGAAACTTATCCAGGATTTGATTAATCTCCAACCGTTATCAAACATCTTAACATATTTCTCAATAATAACATAAAAGACCAAAATAAAAGATACTTTTAAATATTTTCTTAATCTTTATGTGTTTTTTGAATATCAACATACTTTACTCACATAGTGGCCTTATCCGGATGCATTCCTCATCTTTCCCAGCGCAGTTTGGTCGCATGGGATCAAAGCACAGTAGATGAGCTCAATCGTCAGCTCCGACTTTATTGATCGATCTTGCCTCTCATCGATTCCGCGCGCAACGATGCGTCGACAAGCACGTCTTGCTGCCTTGCCGTTAACCGAAGGACGGACCGAGGGTGCGCGGCTACTTCGGCGGCGACGACCTTCTGGAATCGATATCGAGAGCCCGGCCACCACACGCAAAATTACCGATTCGCCTATCCACGCCGTACAAACACCCTCGCGCGCATCCCTCGCGCGTTCCGAGGGTCAACCCTCCACGGACACGAAATTATCCTCCCGCCGAAAGGGAGAACGCCGACAGTGTTTACGAGACGCTAAGAAACTAATACTACTTTTATTTTTCTTTCTCTTTTTCCCCTTTTTTAATAAATAAGGAATGTAATGGATTTTAATTTTTCTTTTTCTAATAATTATTTTGTTATAGATTTGAATTCTGAGGATCTCTCTTGAGAAAAGCATCCATAGCCACGATGTTTGAACTTAACACAACGAAAAATAAATATTCTTCGCCATATTCTTCGATCGTTCCTTTGGGAGAATGCTGTCAACACTATAATGATGATGACACCGTGGAAGTTATACCACCTGAGATCGAGACAAGATCTAATAATTCAATGCATAGCTTATTTTTTACAACTTTCTTTAATCGAATTGTTTCATCATCACTGTCACTTTTTTATCGTGTTAGATTATTTCGAAAATTTAAGGGAATCTAATAAGATTCTCGCTCGACGACTGAGGGGTCCCGTGGAAACGCGAAACGGGGAGCAACTGCGCCGGGACGACGCGCACATCGCGACTAAAGCCGGGGTTGCCGGCCACCCCTCTCTTCCTTTATCGCAGAGACGGGGTCGAATTGCCGCCACCACCGCCGCCCGCACCCCCGTTTATCGTTCGGGGTGCGCCTCGAGGGTGAGCATTATGACAGAAGGTTGGCTTCTATGAATGAATGCCCGATCTATACAACGGCGCGCCACGTCGTTGCGTGTTTTCCAAGCCAAAAAGGCAAGACTGATTCCGCCGAGGATGACGATTCGATCTTGCCTTTCTAAGGAACGATGAAAAGGTGATTGCGAAGGCGCCAGAGTCGGGGATGACTTTGAGCAATATTGGCGCTTCGTAGAAAGCGAAGGGATGATGTCGGTAACGTCAGACGAGAACGACCAATGTAATATTTACATTCGAGAGTAGAAGGAAGAAAATTATTTATATGCTGGATATATATAATTATATTATATATAATATACGTTATATTTTTATATACATGTCGAAATTCGGCCGTAGTAGGTTTCGATTACCCTATATAACGGTCCGTGGTATAATAAAACGAGAAAGAGCCTCTTCTCGCCTTATGCTCTCGAGAGAAGCAAAAAATTGGTACATAGTTGGAAAGTTTATGTTTTCTTGTTTAAAAATATGATTTTATTCTATAATAAAAGTGAAAGTGACTATAGATCGTCGATTTTATACAAAATTTATTCTAAATTACTATTCTAAATTATTATTCTTAAAATTTACATTCATTTTGCGTTGAAATGTTAAGAACAGATCTTTCTAAAATGTGATCTTTCTAAAAAGAGAGATCTTTCTAAAATTTACATTCATTTTGCGTTGAAATGTTAACTGATGAAAGTGAGTAACGTCGAATCTCAACCGTCAATTATATTCGTTCCGCGAGCGAATGATACACAAACGGATGTTCTGCCGCAGACTGGATCTAACTGTGACGTTATCTAATTATGTCAATGCGAGCGCGAAGAGATCTTTCTTCCAATTATAACTGTGAAGAGAAGATGTATACGAGGCTTTGATAAAGGTGCTAATATGGCGTAAAAACTTGAAACTTGCACGTTGAATAATATGAATAATTTTATGCATTGTATTTTGTGTATATATATTATGAAATTTAAATTATATTAAATCTGGTACTTAAATAAATATAAATTGGTAATGGTAAAATACACTAATAAAACAAAAATTTATTAAAAAAAAAAATTCGAATATTTTTTAATAATTATGATTTAAAGGATCATTACAAAAATAAAATAAAAAGACCTTGCTAAACGAGAAATTATCGAAAGATCACGGGGTCTGTTCTTTGCAGCTGAACTGGCTGCACTGGTTCAGAGTTTATCTTTTTCTCTCCCCATTGGAAGGAGAAGGATGGGCTCTGAACTGGTGCAGCCAGTTCAGCTGTGAAGAACAGACCTACGGTTACATACTCGAATCGCGGTACAGCTATTTGTCATTACATCGGTTTATAACGTGTTGCATGTTACTGATTGCGCCCTGGCCGTCCGTGCGGTATGTTTGCGAATATTTTCCGCAAACGCACCGCGTACCACCGAATTACGCAATGCGTTCAAGCAGATCGAAAAGTCCGATTTTCCGCATCGGCGATCATTCGACGATACCGAGCGCGCCAAATTAGCGCGATCGGCAAAAGGCTAGAACGTTTATGTAACGGCGGGGAGACAAGTTGATTATCCGTAATTCAGCCGACGCAAAAATCCGTAGAAAGCACCTGCGGAAGGTATAAACTTGGGACCTGGGTACGACAACGACGCGTGGCGGACCGGCGTTGCGGTCAACCAGCACGCCGCCGATTATTATCCGTAATCCCGCCGTTGAAAAAATCCGCCGGGCACCTTACGGAAACGCAAAGTGGAGGTCTCTCCGCGACCAATTATCCGCAATCGACGACGGTTACTAATGGACGCGTTATGGAAATTCACGTCAACTCCTCGAGGGCGCGCGCCTTCGGTTCTCTCGAGAGGAAACCCGAACGACACTCTTAACTATACTAGTATACACGAAGAATTATACTAATTTTAACGATTTCTACATTTATGCAAAGTTTCTAAAAACTTCTTTTCGTTTTACAGCACTTGTTTCGGACACGGCATACAAATCTATATTACAATCTGTAATCTTCCAGCAATACGCAAATTTATATCATTCGAGCTTATTTACTTTTCATATAATATAGAAAGCTGTATATTTTTAATTTTTCTTTGTCTCAGTTATTTTTAACTATTTATATTTATAAAAGTATATATATAGAAGAAAATAAAATTAGAAATGACTCTGCTTATTAGACTGTGCGATAAATAAAATTTTTTTCCGTTATCTATATCATATGTAGTAAAAAATTTTGATCTAAAAAGGAACAGGCTTTCAGCCGACGCAAAAATCCGTAGAAAGCACCTGCGGAAGGTATAAACTTGGGACCTGGGTACGACAACGACGCGTGGCGGACCGGCGTTGCGGTCAACCAGCACGCCGCCGATTATTATCCGTAATCCCGCCGTTGAAAAAATCCGCCGGGCACCTTACGGAAACGCAAAGTGGAGGTCTCTCCGCGACCAATTATCCGCAATCGACGACGGTTACTAATGGACGCGTTATGGAAATTCACGTCAACTCCTCGAGGGCGCGCGCCTTCGGTTCTCTCGAGAGGAAACCCGAACGACACTCTTAACTATACTAGTATACACGAAGAATTATACTAATTTTAACGATTTCTACATTTATGCAAAGTTTCTAAAAACTTCTTTTCGTTTTACAGCACTTGTTTCGGACACGGCATACAAATCTATATTACAATCTGTAATCTTCCAGCAATACGCAAATTTATATCATTCGAGCTTATTTACTTTTCATATAATATAGAAAGCTGTATATTTTTAATTTTTCTTTGTCTCAGTTATTTTTAACTATTTATATTTATAAAAGTATATATAGAAGAAAATGAAATTAGAAATGACTCTGCTTATTAGACTGTGCGATAAATTAAATTTTTTTCCGGTATCTATATCATATGTAGTAAAAAATTTTGATCTAAAAAGGAACAGGCTAGTCTAGTTAATTAATTCGGGTTATTAATGTGATTCAATTTTAAAGGCAAAACAGATGATGATTCTCGTCGAGATACTTTTTCGCTCACCAATATAAACCTACTCAAGGCTTGAAAAAACTCGACATAATAGACAGGATTACGAGTTACGTGCTCTCTATATCTGATTCATCTCTCTCTCTCTCTCTCTCTCCCTCTCTCTCTCTCTCTCTCTCTCTCTCTCTCTCTCTCTCGGTATGCACAAAGTACACCTGTTATTGCGCCAAGCAGACGTCCGCTCAAATTATCATGCGTGCCACGCAGGCATGCGTAACTGGAAAATGACTCGGTTTGCATAACTCTCGGTCAGATGTTTCCCTCTCGAGGCTCGAGGGTCGAGGAAGCGCCGAAGGAGATCCGGCATACATTTATCCTTCTCCACTCGAAAACCCGCGTGTGTCCGTCGCGCGCGATTTGCATCCGACCAGCTGCTCCTCACGACCGGTCGATTTGTTTTTCCACCGTAGGCCGTACGCGATCTCTGTCTCTATTAACCGTAAATCATAGCTCATGAAAGCGACTCGGGCGAGTAGAACGATGAAAGTAACAGTTTACTTGCGCTCTTATGCGCGAACGTGTAAAATAGAGCGTGCGAGATGTAATAAAAGCGTCAACGTTCAGCCCCGTTTAAATCATGTGGATAGATTTCCGTGATATATCGAGATATCTCGTTTATGATTTTGTAAAAAAAAATTAATCTCGACAAAAATAATTCGCAAGAACATATAAATAATATAAGTCGGTTTTCTTTAAGCTGACATTAAATATTTATTTGAGATCTTTGCAATCTATCTACTTCTAACATTCTTGCTTCTTTTCAGCTTCAACAGTACTTTTTTTATTTCGAAAAATGGAATCTTTTAGATGGTTAATTTTTTTTTCTCTTATATGTCGATATGTGTATGTGATATACTGCTCAAATTTAACGTATATATTTTTATGTATCTAACTGACACGAATAAAATGTGCTAAAGATTAAAAATCAAAATATTGTTTTCAAACACATCTTCTGAGGAATAGAAAAGATACATGTACTGTTATGAGACCTTGAATTAATATCCTATTTATTTTTGTAACATTATCCTGCCAGTTTTAAATTTGTTTATTTTGTGACAATATCGTTTCAATGTTGTTTCTATATAAATACTTCTTCTTCTTTGTTTGCATGGCTCCGCGTTAGATAGCTACCCGACACACGGCCAGTATAATCAGATAAAGTACACGCTCCGCACGGTATCTTAATTGTAAAAAGAAATTTGTGTAGATATATTTGCTGTTTGATTTATTCTGTAAGTATTTTATCGTTCTACTTTGTATTCCTTCCAATCTTTTAAGGAGTTATGTCAAAAATATATACAAACATTTTGAAATTGTTGTGTTTTATGTATTTTATACATAATTTAAAAAAAGAAAACATATACTATCTAGTTTTTATAAATACAATCACAGCTAATAGAACAATGTGAGACGAAAGTCACGGTCATATAATATTAATTTTGTAATATAGCAATTAATTCGTCTATAATTATACAACATGCTTTTATGTATTTCTATATTAGCTTTTTTTTGTAGGTTATTGTAATGGCCACTAGGGAAGAAATTCAAGAATATCTCGATATAAGGGATAAAATCGATGTGAGAGTAAATGCTGTTTTAAATAAAAATGTATCTATAGATACCATACCAGAAGGTGAAGAAAAGAATATGATAAAATTAACAGTAGAAATTGTAAAAAGAAAAAGGGTATATTTGCAAGAAAAAGAATTATACGAGACAGCAATAGACGATTATAAGGTAACAGAACACTCCACTAACCCGACACCGGTAATAAAAGTTGCAGCCAAATATAAACTTGTACCTTGGATTCTTAGCAGAGAAATATTTAAACATACTACTGACTCGAATTATGTATATACTAGAGATATAGAAGAAGAATTCATTTCATATCCACAGGAAGAAGAATTATGGCAACATTTAAAATCGTTGGTAGAACAAAAATTCATATCTTGCTCTTGTAGAGCTTGTTTTTTGCTAGAATCCTCACTACATGCTTATAAATATCTCAAACGGTGGAAAATAGATGAACAGCGTTACCCGCTGTGGTATTTACTTAAAGCGGCATCAATAGAATGGATACAAAGATTCGAAATGAGGCACCGTGGCGAAATTTCTGACTTATGCAAGAAGTCGTGTAATAAGACCTGTAGTGTAGCACCTGTAGAACCTGTATGTAGTACTAGCACGAGTAATCAAAACAAGCAAAAAAATAGAATATTCTTAATGTAAATGGTAATTTTTAATTTTTAAACCGCAATAGACGAATGACTGAAATGTAGTCAAAATATTTAAAAGTAATTTAATTAATTGATTAATTTCAAAATACATTCGTATTTATATTATTAATTACACATATATTAATAAATTTTTATCATTTTCAATTAACAGATTTTAATTTTTTTACATCATGTTTTTTGTTGCATAAAAATTTGAACAATTTTTTCCCATATTCAATCCAATGATCAATATTAATAAATACTGACAATAATAAAAATACATGCAAAACGCCAAAGATCAGTTTTTAATATCCTCGAAAAAAAAAATTCCTATAAATCATCAATTTTTCCTAGAGTAGAGACAGAGATTCCTTAATCGAAAATATTCGCACAAAAGCGGTCGTTCTAAACCGTTCTACGGACGATTGGTTCGCGTCGCTCATCCTCTCCATATGCCGATCGATCGCGCGTCTCCGTTTTCGAGAGATCGATGATCCTTCCTGCCGATCGCCGATCACGAGCGACAAGGTAATTTCCCGATTGGTCCTGGCAACTCTCGGCATCGAGTTGCCCTTGCGATCGGCCAATCCAGCGGCGACCGTTCCGCGTCCGGGGTTAACGCATTCGCGATCGTTCGGTGTCATTACATAAAATGTATCCACGATGAGAACCGTTGGGATATATATGGGCAGAAGAGAGAGGGGAATGCAACGGATGCATACCATCAAACATATGTATGTACGTAACTCATCGATGAGTATCGCATCGCGAGTCAAACTATCACGATCGAACATGCACACATCGCATATGTTCTTTCTTTATTTATTTTTTTGATTTTTCGTATTTTCAACGTACGTGGATATCGATTGATGATATTGTATTTATGATCGCTACCAATCGATGCAGCCGGTCGTAAATTCGCGGAGATGGGTCGCGAATTATAGGGCATCTTGGGATATTTCACGAGCGTGTTGTTTGCGCATCGAACGTATTATGGGTTTCTTCTTTAATCTTCCACATTGCTCATTTCGACGCGAGTAATATCGAGGGGTACGGAAGCAAAAAATTTCGAGCGGAAGATAGTATCTTATTCCTCACATCACATATTAGCAAATTCGTATTTATATTTAAAATAAAAAGACATAAATTTTTCATTCTTGAATTTTTAACAATACTGCATCAAATACAATATAGCATTAACGAACAAAATGACAAAATTGTGCAGATTAATTATGCAAACGACATCCACGAGATTCCTTATTAGTCGCGTAGATGAGGAGAATGATGAGCTTATTTATCATTTGTTTCCAGGAGAAGAGGCCTTTATTAAGCTACCACATGTCGAAATTGCTTCGCTGTTCGAACGAGACGTGCGATCTTATCGGGTCATCTTGAACGAGGGGAAGGATCGAGTGTAATTCTGCGGCGCGTGACCTGCAATAAGATTGTACACCCGATATTACGTAGATCCGCCGTAGTGATGAGCGCGTAACGAGGCACAGGTGACTTTAAAAAAGATATTCCTTTAGTTAACGGATAATCCGGGGGCCTCCTTACAGACCCCCCCTGTCTCGTTTGTCGGGTAGAAAGGTACCGTAGCCTCAGGCTACAACGCACGTTGCGCTGATACGATTACAAAAAGCGATGTAAAAGATCCGAGACATTAAGAGCAATATAGTCAAGTATAAAAAATTGATGATTTTTAGGATTTTTTTTTGTTGAAAATTATTAGAAAAATTGATCTTTTTGACGTTTTCCATATATTTTGATCGATATTTAAACAATATGTCAATTATTATTAAATCTTGGATACTTAGCTTTTTTTTTGTTTAACACGAGCCTTTGCGCGTAGCGTGTTTAAAAATACATGGCTCGTAAACATCGATAGAAAATATGTAAAATGCCAAAAAATACAATTTCTAATATTTTTTAAACAACAAATAATTCCTAGAAATCGCCAATTTTCATACTGCTAGAGTAGATTGGATCTTCGAGGATTCTTAATCGCCAGACGAGAGTATAAACGACGTCCCGATGAATTTCGTACCGATAATGATCCGCGCCGCTTGCGCGAGCGTGAGAAGTTTATCACGAGGCTAATTGAGTGAGCGATTACCCGCGTTTCCTCACCGTCCCCCCTTCGTATCATACGACGATTTGCTTAATAATCCCCGTGTCGCATTCGCCGAATAGCTAATACACCTGCGTACGAGGCACAATCTCCGAGCTGCCGAATTAAGCGATCTCGCCATTTATTATGGCGACAGTTTGTATCAGAGTCGGGCGCGTTGAAGCCAATAAGTATCTTAGAAATTATTATCATATTCATGAGACACTTAAAATCCCAAAATTTATGAAAAATAGAAAGAATGAAGAAGAGACATCGAAGGTATTTTAGGTAAAGAAAAGTGTCTGTTTCCACTTCGCTTTCTTAGTAAAGAGATTAGAATACAAAAACCGTTATATACAGATGTAAATAGAAATAAATTGATATTAGCGTAATGTCATGCAATATTCTGAATATGCAAAATATAAAAATTTTGTAAGCTAGATACGAAAACATCTAAATGAAATAAGATATGATTCCTAATATTATTATGGTATTTGATCTACTCTATTGGAGAAATCGTCGTGATAAACATATCAACACCGATTCCTTCGCCGATTTCTCTACCGTAAATCTCGGCGATCGAGATGATCGTTTAACGCTAAATTTCGGAATTTTTTGGTAAAATATTACAACTTATCTGTCACCGATATGAAAGATAGACAAGTTTACGACTACGACATTGAAAATTGATGACCCGGATGACAAGCGCAGAGGAATTTTTAATTTTTGAGTCCTTTGCCCACGTGTCGACGTAAATCCTCGAGGAATATGGCGGACCTGAACAAGTTCAGCACCGTTTACTGCCTGCAATTTCCACGTCCGTGTCAATGCATTAATTAAAGCGGCGTTACACGTCTCGTAATCGCGACACTGACATGCTCCCCAGGCTTATAACCGATCGCTTCTGTTCTTTTTTCCATTCCCAGCAGGGCTGGTTTTGCTCTTGCAGGTGTACTTTTTATTGCATGGATATTTAATTGGAGGGATTTCGCTCAATAATACAAGATGATGAAAATAAACAAAGATCTCCAATTAATAATAAAGGCAGTGTACAATTTCAAATATTCGATAAAGCCAATTATTATTAATTATTATTAATCTCATATATTTTTCTTCTTTAAAATATTTATTTAAAGATCCATTTAAGATCTCCAAAGCTATCAAAGATGTGAATTGCCCTACTTGAGATTAATAGCGCCGTAACAAATCATCTACAATTGACCGGCAATGAATATCATTTACAAATTACCTTATTATCGAGTGATCTACTTCCACGATTTCGAGATCACTGGGCCATTTTTTCCTCCGTCTAAACCGGTAATCTATTGTGTACCAAGAAAGAAAGATCCTCGATTAAAAGACGGCCCTGGTTCTCACGCGAATTTTATCACGTCGCCGTTGTTGTTATCCGATATTTTTTATTAAGCAATAATTAAAACATCGAGAGAATCGCGCGGTGTATCCTCGAAAGAATGTGTTTTTCTCTGCGTGCGATGTGGACAGAAAAAAAAAGATTAGTCGAAACACACGTGCCTATATAGAACACCCGAATCCGATCGCCCGCATCGATTTTTTGCGGACGATGAAAAGAGAGCTTCTCCTTTCGAGTCCAAATGAGAAATTAAGCAGTGATTACATTAAACGATAATAGATCTGAACAAGCGTGTACGGTATCAGCCATTAAATTTTAAAGTTTTGCAAAAAGTTTTGTTATAAAAACTTTACATAATTCAATATATGATAGCTAATTATTATAATCCTCGATGCACATTCCTTTTTGATTGAAGGAACTATGTAACGTATAAAGAGAGAGAATCGGCTTACGCAAATTATTTTTTAATTATGCGTATAAAGGATTTTTTTAAATTCTTTACTGTATTTACGCGGTAATGATTCGTGTCAAGGTAAGAGATCTCTATAAATCTTTAAGAAGTATGCATGTAAAATCTTATTCTCAGAATAAAAGTTGGACATATCTTTCATTCACTCTCACAAAAACTTGATAACATTATCATTACGCTTCTCCGAGAGATATTTCTTTAAATGGATAATTCCGCTGTATATCTCGCATCCGCTAAATCATCGAGATTCGAAACCGAGTTGGAACAACTCTCTTGTGTAAAAACAAAATTAAAAAAAAAAACGAGGCTTATTGTTTTTTTCACAAAAAAACCGTATTTTATAAAACTATATATAATATAATTACGGATTTTATAATTTTTTGACGATTTCTTTATCTCTCATTAACAATATTAAAATTGTTCTCTATAAAATCTAGATTATTGATGTAATATATAGATACATATATTACATGATATTATATATCATATATTGTTCCCATTGAAATTATACTATTGGCAATATTAAATTATTAAATTAAATATGGATCAATATATATCTCAATTTTATTCGTCTATCTATAATGATTAATAAATATATGTGATCAACAAATATTATACAAACTGCGAAGAACTATATATTACATTTCTATAAACTTGTATTGCAAAAACACTAACTTATTTTTATCCATTTTTTGTAGATAAAAATATAGCAAAAGAATCGGAAAAAAGAATTTACACAACGTGCAAAAAAAGATTTCGCGTTCAGAATGCTGTATTTTTTTATTCCTTAATAAATCATCAGATAACGAGACGCAGCGATAATTATCGCGAATAATGTGTTCTCAAACCAGTGAGGGTTTGAGTACTTAACTTCCCGGGGTGCAAGCCACTTACTTCCGTACAGCCCTTCGTGGTACAAGTCCAAAGAGAATGGAGGGTTGCTATAGAGGGAGACATACCCAGCCAATTAACAAGCGGAGTACTCATTTAAAGCTGTCTTTTTTTCTTCCTCGTCGAATTTTTCCTATTTATTGTCTATCTATTCGACAGAGAACAAAGGGTGGTATTCTTTTCGTCTCGGCACTTCTTCTTAGGCCATGGCGATAGTGTGTACAGCTTGAATAATCGATACTTCCACCATTTCTCCGTCGTTGAACACGCAGACTGTTATCGGCGTCTGTGAAACCTAATTGCGCGGTGTTCCGAGAACAAAGGAATTGGTAGTTCTTTATGACGAACGATAACTACAACAATGGGGCGAATGTCCCTTGTCAATGCAAACCCTTGTTTTTTGGATTGTAAATTCGAACGAATTGAGTGAATGAAAAGAAAATATTAGCTGATGAAAGAGAAAACTCGAAGTTTATATATAAACATAAAAATAAAAAAAATGATCTGAATTAAATATGATACAAATTATGCACATATGAAAGCTAATTTTTATAAAAAGCAATTGAATAAAGATTGTAAATTCATACGAAACGGAAATGCATTCTTTATATAATTGTTAATAGCAAAAAGTATGATCTCATAAGAGTATGTGTAACATCTGAAGCGATTTATTAAATTTAAACAGTAATGTACACAACATCGAAATAAACAAGAATAAACAAATAAGAACAATAAAAACAGATTAGATAATATAATATTACAAATGCGTACAATCTATACATTCTTAACTACAACAATGGGGCGAATGTCCCTTGTCAATGCAAACCCTTGTTTTTTGGATTGTAAATTCGAACGAATTGAGTGAATGAAAAGAAAATATTAGCTGATGAAAGAGAAAACTCGAAGTTTATATATAAACATAAAAATAAAAAAAATGATCTGAATTAAATATGATACAAATTATGCACATATGAAAGCTAATTTTTATAAAAAGCAATTGAATAAAGATTGTAAATTCATACGAAACGGAAATGCATTCTTTATATAATTGTTAATAGCAAAAAGTATGATCTCATAAGAGTATGTGTAACATCTGAAGCGATTTATTAAATTTAAACAGTAATGTACACAACATCGAAATAAACAAGAATAAACAAATAAGAACAATAAAAACAGATTAGATAATATAATATTACAAATGCGTACAATCTATACATTCTTTTTTTTACAATTTTATCGAATTATAATATTACATATGATCCAAGATATTACATATAACAATTACATATATAAATACAATCAGGGAAATTTAATATTAAAATTCAAAGATATATATTATGTGTAAAATGTTGAATAAAACTGATGCATTGTTTTGATCACTCGTCACAAATAACATTTAATCATTTTATAATAATAAAGAAATATATTATTATAATAAAGAAATATTTTTTGAATCTTTGCAGCTCATTTATATGTTATATGATGGAGATTAAGCAGATGCTAGAAGATAATGTTAAATTCATTGAATCATGTTAATGAAATCTATAGATTATAATATATGTGAGTACAAGCAATGTGTTATTACAAATTGCAAAGTATGAAATAGAAACAACGATCCATGATTCTGAATTATATTTAATGTGAGTAATGCCTACATTAAATATTTCTTGCATTAAAGTTTTCCTTAACCTGCGACCAAGCTATATATACATCAAAGCGTGAGAAAGTATGGCAAATTAAATCACGATAAAAATATTATACATTTCTGTATAAAAGACTGTGTGACTTCCATTTTATTATCACATTCGAAGTTACTACTATTCTACGTTGCATTCGTAGTAACTTGTAACAAGTTTCATAAAGTATGAATTGATATTCTTTGAAAGATATATTTCTAGCAGTTGTCGATATATGTGGGAATGTCTTTATATATAAATACATATAACTACTTTAATAGTTTGTAAATATTAAAACGCGAAATATACAATAAAAGTGACGATCAAGAAAAAGTCAAGAGACAATTTCATATATAAACTTTTCTCCTTATCGGTATTGTCGAAATGTGAGAAATATAAATATATGAAACATTTCAATTTCGAGAAGATTATACAAACATATTAATTTCATGCTAAATGTGAATGCGTTTTTTTTCGATAATTAATCTTTTTTTTAAATTTCTTAAGATTTACAATTGAATTATTTTACACAAAACATTATCTACAAAAGTGTATGTAACAAAAATCTAATTTATCATTGATACATGTATAATACTGCAATTAATTGCTCGTACTGACATAAAAAAACGAGAGAGATCTATTGTTTTATAATTTCTTATTAAATAACGGTAACTTTTATCTTCGATAAAGCTGCGAGAAATTGCAGAGATAAAAAGAATACAATATATTACAATCACGATATAGTGTTATCATATCATTCTTTAATATTGCCACTATCTTTTTAATTTTATCATAAATTGCAAATAGATTTATGTTACCTATTAACTGAGCAAATCCATGATATCTTGCGTGGATGAATTAGATATGTTTGTATTGGTTTGTGTATTAGTTGGCGACATAAATGGTTGTAACATTCCAGGAAAGTTTAAATTTGGCTTAATTTCTGGCTGTGTTGTAAAATTCATATTATTTTGGGGAGTGATAGTATTCCACATCGACGTGGATTGTTGTAAATTCCAATTTATAGACGCGTTTATGCCATTGGAGTTCCAATTCATCGGTCTATTCATGGGAACGTTATTCGGCATTGTTTGCGTTGGAGATGTTAAAAATTGTGATTGCGTTAAACTATTCTCATACTTGTACATAGTATTTTTAGAATAATCTGGCTGCGACATAGTCGATTTTGACATGGATAGATTTAATTCATCTAAATTGTTTTTCAGCAAAGTGGCGGTTAAATCCTTTGGTTGTGGTTTTATAGGTTGTGACACAGTCTTAGGAGTCAATATAGATTGGGATTGCAATCTTTGATGCGCCTCCTGCTGGTGAATTAATCTAGAAAAAAATCGTCATAATATTTAATACTGCAATTAATACAAGATAAATGTGTGAAATATATAGAATCTTTGAAATCTTGCTGAGACAAACCTGAGCTTATCTTCCATGGTTAATCCATTTTCAATGTTTACAGGTTTGGGATTAGCGTTCGAGGATGGAATTTCAGGCGTCAAATTAATGTCACTCAGGCTATTATTTTGCATAAAAGAGGGTGACGTTACTTGAGAAAGCGCTTGATCGAATTGTTGTGTCTCGCGACGTACTGCATCCAATTGTCGTAACGCTTCTCGATGTTCGCTAGTTACTCGATTTATCATATCAACGACCAACGTAGAAAGAGTTTCATACTGTGACATGCTAAGATTTTGCTCTATGCAAAGAGGTAACAGAAATGGTAGTACTTTTGTTGCCAGTATTTCTTTGCCCATACCTAATTTACTATGAGTGAGTAGCATTCTGTAAATACCTGGTGACATTAGAGAAAGATTTTTTTTAAATAATATTCTAGAATGAAGTTGAATTGAAAAAAAGTGAAGTTGAAAAAAAAAATTAATCTTTTTATGCATAAAATATATGATTACCTATAATAGCCATTAAAATGGCTGGTTCGCCAGAATGAGGAACTTCTTGTAGAAATGGTAATATCTGATCGAACACCAGCCAACGATCAAAATTCGGTAACATTTTCGCGAGACAAAGTAAACAGTTAACGCGTATTCCGAGACTGGTAGATTTCTTCCCTGGCGACAAACAAATCTTTTTCATTCGCGGCAGTATAGCGTTTTTAATAACTGGTCCCTCGATCATCGTCACTATGTTCGGCAATGCCGATAAGCAGAGTTCTTGAAGCTGTTCCCATTCGGATTCCAATGCACGCAGTAACATAGGCACTATATCGGTCTTAATGACACCCGTAGGGCACAATTTCAATAATAAATTTATATTCTGCATGAGAACTAAACTGATCTGCAAAAGGTACATTGTATAAAAATTATATAAATGTTTATTATAATATCATTATTGTCTTATTTTTATTTGGTATCTATTGCACAATTTATTATTTCATTCTTTTTTGCATAATTATGAAAATATGTACTTACTTGTGGCGGATCTTCCAAAGCAAGAACAGGTTTCAAATTAGGAAGGATATGTTCTCGAAATTCCTCTATCTCAGTAACTTCCATAACTTGCAGTATACTCGGCAATACAAACGGTATCATAGGTGGATTAACCAATTCTTTATAAAGCGCAGGTAATACTCTATGAAGAGCAACCCTATGTGGCAATTGTTTCAACAGTTGTGGAAGACCTTTGTAAAATTGCGATTTTTGAAGATTATCCCATTGGAATAATTTGTCCAAATAATTTAACGTCTTAACACCAATATCAGTAAAATATTCAATCTGCAATAATGAAAACAACACAATAGATATTATTAATTATATTTTAAGTATCTAATTTAATCATTTATTTTAAAAAATTCAAAATTTTCGATATATATCAGAAAAAAATGAATTGCGAAAAATCTCTCAAATATATTACTTTAAGAAAATGCTACCTTGATGAATTGATGAGCATCTAATCTCAATTCTGGACTATGACTCAACATGAGCTTTACAGTATCTCTCAGAGTCTCGGGAATTGGAAGCAACTTTGCCGAGACATTGGAGCCTTTAAAATTTTCTAGAAAACGTCGGCACTTTCCCAAATCATTGTGTGATTCGTAAAGCGGTTGATGTTGCGAGGAATGTATTGTATATATCAGCATGCCTAAGGCAAAAATATCGCTCGCTGGCCCGTTACTACTCGCTAATATGCATTCGGGCGCCTGATAATTTAACTGAGGTTGCACAACTGCTGGGAGTGTCGGATCATATTCCTGATACAACCATGATGGCTGCAATAAAAAAAGTGCAACTTTATTAAATTAAATCATTTATTAATAATAATTGCCTACTGTGTAATTTTGTTTTAACTTATACAATATAAAAATTGAATATAATAATTTATATATTTTTCTTAATAAGTATAATTAGCTTCTAATTATATTAAGGTATATTAATATAAATAGGGTTTATCATATTGATAATTTTTCTACCTGTTTGCTGTCTGGATTTTGATTTAAGGCACAGAAGTCAAAGCCAAATATCTTCCAAGCTCCATGGATATTAATAACAATTGATTCTGGACACAGATTCCTATGCAACAATTTTACATCGCTATGTAGAAATGCCAGACCTTCTCCCAATTGCAACAATCCATAGCGTATTTCTATATCATGTAGTTTGTAATCTTTCAAATTTGCTGGAGTTGGTTGAGGTATATTCTCATAATTACCTAAGATATATTTTACATGTAAATATTATTTATATTAAAAACTAAAACAGAGTATCGCTTTCAATGCAATTAATTTAATATTTTTAATAATATAGAATTTAAAGTATATGAAGAAAGATTTGTCTACCTAATACATTAGCCAGACTAGCAAATACTGGTTCAGTTGCAAACGCAAGACTGTCCCTCGATTCTTCCAGCGGATGTTGCACAATCAAAACTTGCGGATGTCTCAGTTTTGTCAACTGCATCACACCTCGTTTCAGGGTTTCCAATACAAGTTCACGATCCGCTTTGGCAGACCATTTATCCAGCATGCGTTTCTCAAAGACGAAAATAGCAGCTTCCTGCTTAGTGGACTTTTTGTAGCCGCTGTAAATCTTCCACAATAATCCTGGTCCAGCGCTCGCCACATGAGCGGTCGCTTCGAATTCCCTGGTAACAGGATTGCCAGGTAAAACGCTAGACAGCTGTGACAAACCGTACGCCGTATTTTGAACGGTATTGCTGATAGTATTGCTGACTGTATTTCGAAGTTTGTTAAGGACATCCATTCTGGTCCTGTCACTTATTATTTGATAACGATGTCTCCATAAAAAAAAAAAAGCAGATGGTGTCAGTATAATAAAAGATTTTTCGGATTAAATCAAAATAATTATCTGTGTGTTTTTAAAGAGGTCGTATTTCTCTAAATATAAAATTGTTTTAACAAATTCTCAAGCTCCACAAATCACTGCTGTCAGTATATCACCATGAATCATCGCATCATCGGAGCATGAAATTTGTACGAGGTTCTGAAAGGTTGTCTCTTTACACACTACGATGAACTTTTTTATTTTAACTGCTAGTGACAGACAGAAAATACTAAACTTCAACAAACTTGATTCAGAACATGTCCAAAAAATTCGATGTGTGGAATCGCCCTAAGGATAGGTATCTACTAGAAAATTTTTGTTTCTGGATCCCAAAATACTGCTAGTTATAATCACTAGAAAACGAGCTCTTCTATTGGATATCAGACATTATATGTCGAATGTCGTAGTATGAATATTGTATTACGAAGAAGAGTTGCCGTCCTGTAGAATCATTGCCCGTTATCGGCGACCTGACGATTAATGATGGGTTAACCTCGGTCTCGGCGAGACTGACATCTACAATTCATGGAGAGATATTTTAAATCGCGCCGTGAAATTTCTTTGATTTGGAGTATAAATTTACATGGCACTGCGTAGAGAGGAAAATTTGACTGTGACGTCGCGGTTTCCTCGGTAACGTGACGGCGATACATGGTGGTTGATGGTTGACAGAACCTTGTCAATGTCTTCGAATATCTTCCAATATGCATCCATTTCCACGAATCGCTATGACCTGTACGCAGTCCTAAATAGATTAAGCAATTAACATCTATCTGTCCTTTGACTGACAGCAGTTTACACTGCTGTCACTGTTATCACAGTGTATATTGGGTGTATATTGTCACTGTCCTAATCTTGTACTGAAGATTGTATATCCTGAAAGTGAGCATAATGTCTGACGTAACAAATTTACATAAAATAAATTGCGTAAATGATCTCATACAAAAGGCCAAGGTTGATTTTTTGGGAAAGGAGCCACATAATATATATTCAAGGCTTCCCGCTATGCGACAGAAATCTGAAGCAGCGAGGAAGAAGGGAGATGATGAGACTGCATACATTTATTTAAAAAGATGGTTAGATTCGGTCGAATGGATAAAAAAAACTCGGGTTTATAAAACTGGTAAATCAATCTATTCCACAAATATGACTGTTGATCAGGTAGGAAGCTATACAGCATGTATTGTTATGACTGTATACTATGTATGTCATATAACATATGAATGTTTATATTCTAGATAAATGAAGCGAAAAACATACTTGCAAACTTAGAACAAAAATTAGAGATACGCTATGAGCTTAATTCCAAGAAGCGTAGTAATACAGTAGAAAAAATGGAGGTTGAAACAGATGGGATAGAAGTATCAGAGATTTATGCACCAAACAGCGACATAGGCTTGAAATTACCAGAAACACCAACTGATGATCCTTTATATGGTGATAGTGATGAATTTATATCATGCACTCAATTGTATAATTTGTTACGAAAAAGTAGCAGATATTTGATCATTGATACTAGGCAGAAGATTAATTATGACAAATCTAGAATATTGTCTGATAGATGCATTAACATTCCACAATCTGAAATTAAAACAGGGTAAATAAATCTTTCTTCTATCTTTTATAATTTTATTTTTTTTAAATTTATATGTGATATCTAAAATATTTCTCATAATGAATTTATTTTCAGAATACTGGGTTATCATTTTTTGAAATATTTACATAAAGATAAGCAGTCACATGATTTATATGCTCATCGATCAGCACAGTATGTGGATGTTATAATCTTGCTGGACTGGAATACTATGCAAGAGTCTCTGACATCCACCACTCATATATGTATATTAAAGAATATTTTAGAGCATTGGGATCCTGGTACAAAGTATAACAAGATTAAGATTTTAAATGGTGGATATCAAGAGTGGTTGCAGAGATACCCAGCATTTGCGACAAACCCCAATATAGATAATCAAATAACTGAATCTAAAGATATTGAAAACAAGATTTTAGAGACGATCGAGTATCCTGTATGGGTGAACGAAGTCGAGATCGCAAAGAGCAAGTTAGATAATACAAGAGCCTCCAACGTCAATGTCGATGAGGAAATGGATAAAGGTGACAAGTCGGCAGTATCCAAACATACCAGATCGAGTAGTAACGATATTATTTCTTCAACCAAATCCAAGAGTTTTACTAGTCAGATAACGATATCAATCGACAGCAAACGACCGTCTTTGAGAGTAGGCGATAGTGCGAATGCGCAACGATTAGAGAATCCAGATGTATTAGTTCCTCAGCATAAAATATCATTGAACAAAGTGCCGCAGAATGAGATGAACGCGAAGCCAATTATTGATCGCAGCAGCAAACCAGCTGCTTTGAAGACACATGATCCGCGATGTAAAGAAATATTAAAGTTAAAGAAAGAGCTAAACGAACTAGCAAAGTCAAAATTGAAGCTAGCTGAGGAATTGTTAAATCAGGAATGCGAGCTCTATTCCCAGCGTGATGACAAGTACAGTGCCAGTGACGAAAATTATTTACGCGATGAGATAAAATCTCTAAAAGTTAAAGTAGAGGACATGGTATTTATTTATTTAACGGTTTATTTCAATAGTTTTAATTTTATCACAGTATAGAGCCATAAATATTAAATAAATTGTGATCAATTTTTATAAATATATAACATTTTTATTAATATTTACATTGCAGCACAAAATGTATCTCAAGGTCGAAAATGAATTTAATATGTATGCAAAGGAAACAGATACAATTAAATTTAATCCTAGTGACGACAAAGAGAAGAATAATCTTGATTTCAATCTCTCTCTTTTGAAAAACCAAATCAAAGAAAATGAAAGCAAACGAAAAAAGCTACATGAGTAAGTGTATATTCAATTAAAAAATATATAGGAATTGTATTACACAATATATTTTAATAAAATAACGAAGAACACAGTTCAGTACAAAATTAGAGAATGGCAGTAATCATTCACTTCTCTTATATATTAATTATTTTAAGCTATTATGAGAAGTTGTCAAGTGATTTTTTAAATAAGTAATTATAAATATATCTCTTTTATTTTATTAAAATTAGATTTTATAAATAGCTATTTTGTTTTTTGATTTTATTGAATTTGTGTTATATTGCATGATTGTAGAGATTTTTTGGAACGGGAGCGCAGGGAAATAACAATGAGGCAAAATGATAGTGACATTCACAAGGAGCCTTTAAAAACGGATGGTTCATCCATTAACACCGGCTTGGAGCGCTCTTATTCAAGTCCGAATTTACTGCAGGTACGAATAATTTTGCGGTACATTCTTACAATCAGTTTGTTCTCTTTTGTTTATCTATTTAAAATAGCAATCGCATAATTACACACGAACATTTCTGCGTTAAATTCCATTAGTTGGGAGATCGTAAAGCACCTCAGGTAGATAGAACTTCTAAGCCCTATATATCGCCTCGCAAACAGAATGGATCTATTGGGAATGAAAACGTCAAAGTGTCTCCTCTTAATTGGGGGAATCGGGAGGAACGAATGACTCCTATTCACGGCAGTGTTGTAAGTACTTATCCGGACAAGAATGTGCGCGGGCGCTTTCCGGTAAAATTGCTCTATACGGTCTTACAGACACTATCTATCGCAGCTTTTGCTTTCATTAATGCATTGGGGCATTGGGAATGAATATTCGTCTTTTAATACAACATAATAAAATTGATAACAAAATTGATAATGGTGTTGAGTTCTTAGTCTTCCATTTCATATGATGCTTGGCATAACATGTATGTATGATACTGAATGATATACTGCCATGATAATAGCAATACACGATCCTGAAAAATGTTCTTTATATAGATATTGAAATATCAATTAATGTCACTATCAGAATTTAATCTAAAAATGTTTTGAAATTTTCTTAAACACTATTTCAACAATTTAAAAATTAAGTTTATGTAATACAGTTTAAAATATATAATTTTAAATGGAAATATATACACTGTAAAAAGCTGCTCTCACACACAAAAATAATGTAAATATGTGAGAAAGAGAGAAATCTCAGATTTATAATAGTTTGATGAAGAACTATTCTATTTGAAAAGTTATTTTAAAAGCAAATGTAAGGTAGTAAATAGCAACATAAGAGGAAAAGATTAATAATAGTAAAAGTAGAGAGAAGAAGGGAAGGAAGCCGACAGTATGTAATATATATACATACAGCTGATTATTAAAGTTGTATTTAACAAGTATTGCAATTTTAATGGTCAGCAGTATATTTGTTCATATGTGATAATCGTCGGAATATAATCAATAAGATCTCGAAGATACCGATAAATACGCGAACCTCTACAAGAATATGTGTCTAATGAGTATGAAGTCGCGAGGAAACAAAATCGAAAAACCTTGCGATTCGTGGAACACGTGTTCTACAAACACGTGCTATATAACATAATAAATGTATGAGCACGTGTACGCGCACACATTTTAACACAAGGATGGGGTTTCTTAATCCAATCTGCAGACTTTCGATGATTAGTGCTGTGCACACGCACACGTGCTAGTGTCCGAGCAATATTAACCAGATTCGTGATCGCCTGTCAAAGGCGCAGTCTTCCGAAAGTATCCACGATATTTGCGTTATAAAGAGACATTTTCTACAATTATTAAAATTGATTATAGTGAAAATTTAATATTATCCCAAGAAAACCATTATATGAATAAATATCTTAAATAAATATATATGAGTGTACTGACTAATTGCTCATTAATTTAATAGAACAGTATAATGTTTAATTATAATCTAATGCACGATAATACAGTCAAACATATATATGGATATAATGCTTATTATCTTATGATCAAATAATCTCTCGTTGGAATGTGATGGAAAATGTTAGACAATGGTGTATCTTCACAGAAAATTTACTCCGCTGCAATTGCTTAATTATTTTAAAAAGGTAGTCACTAAAAAGCAAAATGTGTGTTTTGTGTAGTTTACATTAATGTTGAAATAATTTATCTGACACAGTGAGATTCGTGATTAAAAAATTAGTCACTTCGTATAATGCAACATCCGGGATACATCAGTGCTTGTTTTAAAAATTATTGTATCTATGATATTGTGTGAATATATCTCTTTTAATACTTCTGTATAATTCTGTATAATTATTTATTTTGTGAAACCAATTAACTTAATGAATTTTTAACTTATAAGAATTCCCATACATTTCTGTCCAAGTATTAAATGCCGTTTATATTGAAAAAAAAAAAAATAAATAAGTCATTTGTTAAAAAGCAATAAATGGCAAATTATCTATTTATAGATATATCAAATTAAATACGTTATAAGGTTCGATTGACTATCGCATGTTGTTTAAATCGATAAACCCCTTCGCTCTCTCTTAATTACATCATGCTCGAATATAGATCGCGTAGTTCTATTCTACAATTGCAAATATCTAATTTTTAAAAGAATTAATTATTTGCGCGCACTTATTCTTTTATTGTATTTGAAAATTTTACAAAAAATGGATATTTGAGACGTTTTCGGTAATCGTGAATATTATGAAAACATAATCAAAATTTGTTTAATAGTTTTAATTTAAGTATGTCTGGAGTAGGCATTTAAGATTAAAATGGAGTGTTATGTATAAGAGACAAGTAGTAAAATTAAAATGTATCTTCCAATGGAAAAATCTCATTAATACACTATCTCTTGTCATAATATGAAAGGTGTATGGTATGCGTGTGTGTATTTATGATACATTGATAGAGTTGATAGTGTGTTTTATCAGTAAAAGTAATTTTCTTATATTTACAGCATCCAGGCATAACCGGCTTGAAAAACTTGGGCAATTCTTGTTATATGAACAGCATCATTCAATGTCTGAGTAACACAACGAATTTGGCGAAATACTTCACCGACAATACATACGCCGACGATCTCTATACGAGTATCGATAATATGACACAAGGCCAAGTCGTGGAAGAAGTGGCTCAAGTAATTAAAGCGCTATGGAGAGGCCAGTACAAAAGTATATCTCCTTATGATTTAAAGGTATTTTAGTTCTTACTTTTAAAATTTGAATTCTAATCTTGTCTTACTTTTAAGCATCAAGTAAATTCTGAATCGCTCTATTTTCTATTTTTTTATTTATACTTGCATTTGAATAAGATTTTATTCTTTTATATTGACTTTTGTATATATCAATGTAATTTTTTTTTTTCAATTCTATCATTACTAGGTCGCGGTCGGGCAATACAAATTACAGTTTGAAAGTTACGAACAACAAGATTCTCATGAGTTTCTCACGTTTCTTTTAGACTGGATGCATAATGATCTTAAAAAGGTAATAAGTCTATGCTTTAAAGCGATATAATTAGTGTGAAGACTAATTACAGAGAGATACCAGAATTGTCTTTTGTTTATAGGAGGCGAAAATGCCGATCGAAATGACCAATGCGGAGAAGGAATGGGACAAGGCGATGAATTCTCAAAGATCCATAATATCGGATTTATTTTTTGGACAACTGAGATCTACCATTACATGTTCATTTTGCAAGCAAGCAAGTACTACATATGAGACATTTAATAGTTTAACCATGTCTTTATCTCAGTCTAATCGGTGTACTTTAAATGTGAGTATTTTACAAAATTGTACGATTATTTGAATGGAATATTAATCTTTTCTCTTTGTCATAATATAAATAATTCAATCGATTAAATTATTTACCAAAACGAAAAGATATATTGCGTTTTGTGGGAATTATATGTTTTGTGTGTAAAAACATTTTGTTCTTTTATGTTAGGATTGTATGGAGAAGTTTGTGACGGGACAGAAGGTGAGCGGATGGAAATGTCCCAAGTGCCAAACACCCCGCGACGCGACAAAGAAATTTGATTTCGTCAAACTCGCGCCCATCGTTGTGATTCACTTAAACCGTTTCGCCGAGAGTGGCGGATGGTTAGAAAAGCGCAACACCGCCGTTGATTTTCCCCTCAAGGGATTCAACTTAAAGCCTTATCTCGTTATGGAGAATACAAAGGCGATCATGACGAATAATATCCGCAATTACAATTATACTCTCTATGCAATGTCCAATCATTATGGAACGATGGATGGCGGTCATTACACAGCATTTTGCAAAAATGCTACTCAGGATAAGTATGTATGACAAATTTGAAAAATTTATTAAAAATATTAAAATTATTTAAAATAATTTTAAAAATAATTATTAAAAATTATTAAAAATAAAGCGTTAAATTTTGTGTCAACTTTTTGTCTTTTTACAAGTTCTGTTATTAGAGAGATAATCTCTTATAAAGCGTAACTATTTTTCGATACATTATTTTATATTTCTAGATATATGTATGTAATAAGTAATATTTACAGATGGTACAAGTATGATGATCAAACTGTCACGGAGGTATCGCCGAGCCAAGTAAAATCTCAAAACACGAGTGCCTATTTATTGTTCTATACTTCGTTTCCGAATACGATCATGTAGTATGAAGATGTGACCGCGGACGCGATTAACACTCGGTTATGACTAAAATCTTAATTTTAATATAGTGCTGTGTAATCTTTCTCTTAAGTATAATATCGCGCTAAATCTTAGTCTTATTATTACGAGGAAGATTACACAGTAATGTGATCGATACTCTGTAGATATGAAACGGTATATTTTGTATTATAAATCCTGTACATGAGCAAGAAGAAAAATATGTATAGGGGCTGTGACGGTATTGAAAGCTTTATCGGTGCTGGCATTCATTAAGAATATGTAAATATATAGAACGGTGGCAATTCCTTTCTGTATTTCCATTGCAGTTTTTTGCCTTAGAAAAAAAGTAAAATATAGTTTGAGAATATTTTAATACGTGTATGTGTGTATAGCTTCATATAATTATATTTAGATATATTAGTCAGATTACGTTGGATTCAGATACAGAATACAAATTATATTCATTAGCAGCATCATCTCGTATGTACTAATCCGTATAGCAGAATATTTTATTTTTTTTGCCGGTTGTTTTCTTTTTATTTGCTTTTCTATTGAAACAAAGCGATAGGGGCCACATAGTTCTTTGTCTTATCAAGCAGTTTAGGTAAAATTTTCGTAGACGAAAAATTTATTTGAATTAAAATTCATTATATTTTTAATTGTATTTTCTACGGATGATCTCGATGATCATCAAAAAAGTGTTAATTAACGTAAATAATAGGTAAAACGCATATATCATACAATTTAGACCGATTGGCAGCATTAACTGCCTTCTTTGCTGTGCTGCCAATATTGTTGTAATGCGACCATTTTGTACTTGAAACGCTTTATTGAAAGTTAGAAACTAAGTTTGAGAACTTAAATGTAATTAAGTTTCTTAATGGCTTGTATATAACAGAAGGAGAGAAACATTTTATTTAAAAAATATAAATAAATAAAATTCCTAAATTTATGTACGAGTCATTGTAAGCTCATCTATGAATGGCTTAAAACAGCCCAAAGAAATTATGTTTGGTGACTAATCAAACGCAACATCTGGATATTTAGATTATTGTTTCAGTGGATATATAAACAATAAACAATAAATATCCAGATAGTGTGTGTGTGTGTGTGTGTGTGTTATGAGATTCGCGCGAAATTTTATAAATCTAGCCATTAAATAGCATTCGCAAAGGCTAAATTAAGAGAATTTAGCGCAAAACTCAATAGTTCATCATGCAACTCGCTTTGTTGCCATATACAATTATATGTACTTTATCTATGAGATGCATAATATACATTTAAGACTATAATGTTGTCGGAAATGTCAATAACATCATTACAACTATGTATAATATATCTTTTTGTTTCATTTGCTCCCTTTTTTCAACAACAACTGTAGTTAAGTATATGCATTTTTTAATTTTTCTTTTATGCTCTATCTCTCACTCTTTGATCGTTTAAAAGTGTCTTGTTAATTTATGTCATCAATTATAAAATTCGAGATTTCTTTATGACTTTCTGCAGATATATGCACGCAAAGCGAAGAAAATTTGCGCGGTTCTTCCTATTTACAACTTGTATAACGCAACTCTGAAAATTAATTTTGCAGACATATACATTTAATGAATAATCGATATTTTATAAATATGGAAAAAAATATTTTAAATATCTTTAATTCGATATTGTGAACAGTTTTGATTTTTTCATGGATCTTACTATCATTCTATCTACGTGAGAATATTAATAAAAAATTTGCTTCCTCATTGCATTAATACTTTTCTTTTGTGTTCGGACGACTTATGCGTCTGTATTACAATTTAATAAATGCAATGCCTGATTTTGGACTCTGAATTATGTAATATTTTTGAACATTTATGTTTACATAGAAAATAAGAATTTAAACCCTAATGTTTTATTTTTTCAATTATAAATATTTTAGTATTTCCTTCCAGGCTCCATGCATACATTTGAAAAAAATCAGATTTCAAAAACGTATTAAATAATCAAATCAGTTTTTAATACATTAGAACGAAATAATAAAATTAATATATTTATTTAAATATATATCACAAAAATTGACAATACAATTTTTCTTAAGTTTAGTTTTGCAATACTTTATATAATACATGCTTACATCTCTATTAAGTCTAATTTACTTCTGCTATTATATTTATTATTATAACGTATATATATGTTATTGGCGAAGTGTCTTGACTCTTTTACATTTTATGAATTATATATAAAAACGCGTATTCGCATATTCGTTTATTTGTGCCGAAGGAGCGCGATATACAACCGATTGTTAGAATTAACATCGGGGTTGGGGGATTCAAACGTCGCGGCCCCCTCACAAAACTGCCGAACTTCAACGCGTCGTTAATAATTTTCGCGCAATCTGTAGCTCAATACACGTTTGCGCGATCCGAGCCTTAATCGGAAACTTCTCGCTATTTTTCTCGGCCGCCACCCTCGTTAAGACAATTTATATTCTTTTATCCTTTAATGCGACTCTCCAGTGCACCCTCTCGCACCCCTCCCGAAACGCCGTCGACGGGCGCGCGCGCGTAACACTTGGCCCCCTTCTTCCTCACAACTTTTTCCATATTCCAATTAGGGATATTTCCCATTGATTTAAGGCCCGGTCGTCGGAAGGCGAGCGAATATTAACGGCTTAACACCGCGATAAATTTACAGTGCCGATATGCCGCGGGTATATCTCCTCCCTCGTGGCACATACCTCTCCTCCCCCCTCGCCGTTCTAGGAGCAGGGTGAAAAAAAATTCTCCGGAGGAACGCGGAGAGCGACGGTCAGGACCACGCGCTTACGCGTACGCCGAGTACTTTACGAGTTGTAAAAACTCTCGTAACATTAATCACCGTGCTTATCCGAAATCGATACCCCGAGGCTGTGAGTATGAACGGGCCGCGCGTGTCACCGTCTGTTTACGAGTGTTTCTTTTGGCTCGTTTCTTTCGCCCCTGCGAAAGGAGAAAAAGTTATTTCGCGCCCGGGTTGCACGCGACGATATGCAGATTATGTACATAGATCTCTATGAGAAATTGAAAACCTCGTAAGTATCATGCGCTTTCTCTCTCTTGCTAAATATTTTCATTAACAGAAATTGCATTTCCCATGTGCGTCCTAGTGTTTTAAATAATTAGTATTGTCTTAACATTTGAATTATATATATATGTTATTTTTATTATATGTGCTTGAAATTATATATTATTCGCGCCCAAAGGACGCTGAACGCAATTTTTTTAAATGTGTATGCCATTTGCCATGTGCAAATCATATATAAATAATTAAAAATATTTTATGAGATTATGAATTTCTCTCCCCCAATAGCACAGAATGAAAATAATCGAGCTACTCTACTGGAAAATGACAAGTAGTTAGGTCAAGGTTTCATCCGCCGTAATATCCGTGGCGCCACGGCAGATGGCGCTTAAAGCGATCCTTGTAGATGCGTGTCGAACGATCTATACAACAAATCGAAACATGTAGTTAGTGCTGCTATTGATGTTTCGACATGTATATTATTGCAGTTGATTACACGAATTACATCCATTTTTGGTAAATATTTAACATCCTACTCGTGATAGAAACTTATTCCGTACGTAAAATATACACTCCTTTTAAACTTTGAGGTAGATCTACATCAATCTCACGAGTTTTTGTGTCGAAAGATCTTGAGCAGAATTTTGAAAAATTAAACGTAGCCATCTTGGCTCTAATAAATATTGCATATTTATAATAGATATGTAGTGTGTAATAACATATGCATATTATATATTTATTTCACACAGGATTAATTTCTAATCATATATTTTGTGTATTAATCCTAACAACACATATCTTTAAGATGTCCAGACGACATCCACAGGATGTGAACATCCTCTGGATGATCTCCGGACATTTTGAAAATGCATACTGTTAGGAAATATTTTCTTTGCATTTTTTCCCCGAATAAATTGATATTATATGGCTTAATATTAATTTTTACTTGCGACACTTTATGTCAAACATATTTTATGTGATTATGAGAACTGATTGTGAACATTATGTATTAGACAAAGCATATTTCAAGGATTTTTTATTTCTGTATGCATTCTTTTTTCTTAACATATTAATTTAACATTACGGAAATAGTCAAGCTCCTTTCTAGGAGACGAACAGTAGTTATAGTCAAAGTTTCGTCCGCCGTAGTTTGTGACGCTACGTACAGATGGCGCTCAAAACGGCTCCTTGTTTCAAATTAGATAAATAAATCGTAACGGTCAATTAGTGCGAGATTGTTGGTTGTTGCAGGTTGCTGCTTCGACGCATATATCGTTGTGATTCATCATGAATTACGTCGTATTTTGGTAAATATTTAATATCATTCACGATAGGAACTTATTCCGCACAGTAGATGCTTCTCTTAAACTTGGAAATAGCTCTGCAACATGAATTTCGCGAGCTTTTGCATAGAAGCTTCGAAAATTTTTGAATACAAAAAAGATTTAAGGCAACCATCTTAGCTGTAATAAATATCACGTATCTAATAGATACGTGGAATGTATTATAGTGGTAATATAATTTGAAAGAGAATAACACATACGGGATTTATTTCTAATCACACTATATATTAATGTGTGCATGCATATAAACGCGAGCCTGCATTTTGTGTGTATAGGTATATGTGATCAAACCAGCCGATTATTTCGAAAAGAAAATTAAAGCATAAATATGTGATTAATTTTTGGTCTACGAAAAATAAATATCTTTCTAAAAAATTATTTTAAAAAATTGCATTTCTCTTTCTTTTTCTTATTATTCAAATTTTTTACATTCTTAAAAAGATCGATTAATTACGCATTACTGCTCCTTTTTTTTAAATATATTCACGAACAGCAATCACCGGAGCTAACAAATTGCAAATAATTTCGCCAGACATTGTATATGGTTTAATATAGCACAAATTACATATATATATATATATATATATGTGTGTGTATGTGTGTGTATGTTTGTATGCAGATTACAGTATAGCTGTGCTTTAATCAGAATATAGAAATACACCAATTAACAGCACGTTTGAAAGTTTGTATTATATGTAAAAAATAAAAAAAATATTAATAATTGCATCATATATATTAAAAAAAATTATTGTTGCTATTATTTTAATTTTATAATTTTATAACACTTTGCATTATATAAAGCCAAATTTCTGTTATTGTCATAACTACAATCAATATATATATTATGTATTGATAAATAATAATATAAAATTTATACTAACATATATTTTTTTATTTACAGATATGTTGGATGGGAGAAAAAGATCCATGGATGGGACAATCTAGGAGCATGTCTCTAAGAGTCTTAGGAGAATCTGAATCATCACTGGTGAGTGATTTACATATTTCACTGAATCATCACTGGTGAGTGATTACATATTTTTTTATTTTATGCCTTTTCCCAAGT